CCTACCTACCTACCTACCTACCTACCTACCTACCTACCTATCTATCTATCTATCTATCTATCTTTTTATTATCTCTTTATCTATCTATGGTGTCTATCTGTCTATATTTTGTTAAACAACTTTTCAGATGTTTTTAAGACGTAGAGAAGTCAGGAAACGGGTGATTTCACTGACACCCCCCCCCCTGTTTTGTGTCCTGCAGAGAAAGAAGTGAACGAGCTGATGGAGGAGCTGTTTGAAACGGTGAGTCTTCCCGGTCCCCCTGTTTGGAACGAATCCAAGGGAGGTCGCTAGTCCTCAAGGGAACCATTGCTTCCCGTGTTGTGAAAATCTATGCCTGCTTGTCAACTCAATTATCCAAATTCAGTTTCAGGATGAAATCGGCTTCCCCAACGTGGAGGATGATGGAATGGAGGACGAAGAGGGCACAGCGGAGGCCCGGCCCAATTTTAATACCCCTCAGGTGCTCAGGTAGGACAGCCTCACCTGCCTCTTTATATTCATGAATGTTTTAACAGACAGGTGTCTGTCAAACGGGATAAGGGGTACTATTTCCCCTTTTATTCCATGATTCTGGAGAGAAACCTTGTGGGTGGTCCTTGATTTACGTCCACAAATAGGAGCAGAATTTCCGTTGTTAAGCAAGTCGGTTGTTTAAGTGAGTTGCTCCCAATTTTAGGAATAGGAATATGCCTTATTGGCCAAGTGTGATTGGACACACAATGGAGTTTGACATTGTCGAATGAGCTCTCGTAATTCTATTTCCGATTTCAACTCTTATTATTCTCTTTTCATACTTCCCATCTTAAACTTACTTTCTTCTTGTTATATAAACAATATCCTTAATTGCTCCTTCAAAGTTATAACCAAATTATCATTTCATGGTTCCTCTTGTCATCTATTTTACCCTAATGAAACCATCTAGTTATTTTTTATTTTGTATTCCTTTCGTTCTTCAATTAAGCCCCTTTTTTTACTCTCTTCTATTTCCTGGTCTGACTGCTCCATCTAAATTTCTAGCTCATCCTTCTCCTCCAAAGTTTCACATTTTTAACCTCTCAAATAGTTCCTTATACATCCATGATACCAATTTGACAAAGGAACCCTTTTTTTTCCATCCTCGTTCTGTTTCCATTTGCGACTCAATTTATTCTCTTTCCATTTTTTTCACCTTATTTTCTTCTTAGTATCTAAACAATATCCCCCCGCAAACAGTCTTTCAAGGGTGAATTCACAACCACAGACCTTATCAGGCTTGGAGAGCTGCCAGGCTGATATCTAACACTGTTTGACCAGGAGTCACGAATCAATTAAGCAAACTCATTGTCTCCTGCAAACTCCATTCCCCTTTCACTCCTCTTTTATGTTCTCTAGGAGGGGCCATTCACCGTCCACTTGTGGCTTTCCTCCCAAGTCGACCCCTGTTCTTTAGCTCTTCCCTTCGTCTG